CATCTTGAATGGCCACTGCGACCTGGTATCCTTCCCTTGTGAGGTATATCACAAACATGAGAGAAAGTGCAGATTGAAGAAACCCTCCAAACAAGAAAATTCCGGACGTCCGAGAAGTTGATACCATATTTATCTCGCACCCTACATATGTGTACATAGGTGCGTATTCCCACGCATACATAGTTACGTATATTCATATATAGACACATAGGTGCATACGTTCGTATATATACACACCAGTCGGCTGGCCCGGTTCTCTCACTATTATGCCTTGAATTTTCGTTGATGGCCCCTAGATTAGGAGTCCTTCGTAGTTCTAGGGAGCACGATCGTGCAAGGCGACTTCAAACCCACCAAGTCTAATTCTGTTGGTAGTGGACTCGTGGAAATCATTCGAGAATTATGTAGCTCCGCCCTCTTCACCTCCACATAAGCACGTAAAGATAATGAGCATCCCTGCCTCAACGATGAGGCAAGTACAGCGGAACATTGTTCATTTCTTGCTGCCGTTCGAGGGTATGACCATTATCTCATACGTATGGCTCACGATCCCAACCTATGCTTATACACTTGTGGCGCGGCTTACTACCTAGCACCTGCCAACTTTTAATTTTGTGCTGTTAGATTCGGAGACTTTCCCTCTTATTCATGGCACGTCGCCGTCTAATTAAACACTCAGTAAGATTGATTTGAGCCGTCTTCACAATTCTGTTTTCCTTCTGATTCTGCAGGTGATTGTAAAGCAACACGATGTAACCAAATCTTTTTTTAATTAGTTGTTGCGGTTGTGAGGTATGTTCCCTAACACTTCGTGCACCACATATGTTTGTGATACGTTACCTTTATCACCGCTAAAAGCCCCCGCTGGTGGGCCTTGAGCATCCATGTAATTTAAGTTATTAAGCCTCACCTTAAAATCACTTCATAACTCCATTCAGAGAATCATTCGGCAAATTTGGAAAGCAAACTTGAGATCAGCATCCAAAAACACGTTCAGCAGTATAGGTCTCTCTAAAAAAGGCCACTTTGCCTTCGGATCCTTCCATGGTCAGCTGAATAGTTCCGTAGCGACCGCATCGCAATAGTACGTAATCTGCTGGGCGATGCATCGCGTGCTGCGTACGCGAAGAACTCTGATCGGGTCACGCGTGAATCGCACGTTCCCATTTGTAGCTAGTGCGCTAGACAGATTGAGCGAACTAATCAGACACCATTAGGATAGCATCCAGTCAACGACCACGAATTATTGGTATCATAGGATGATCACAATGTATCCAATAAAAAAGAATCGCGTAGCTGCTAGCGCAATACTATATAGGAAGGTCGTTGTAAAACATTAACCACTTTTTTGGCTTGATGTTTTAATAGTTGCTGGTTCTATTTAACCCCATAATTTAGTTATTTTCGGGAATGTGTGCTCCAATGGCTTTCGTAAAAATGATTTGAACACAATCTTATGCTTATTTTATACACAAAGACTGTTGCAAAAGATGAAGTTTCGCAATACTTTGAGACTTAGGCACTTCCTTACAGAGAAAAAAGCGATGGAAAAGTATTGGGTTTTAACATAAGTTCATGGAGTTTTTGTTAGAGTTATTTTACAAAGAGTTGTTTCGTTTTTTGGCAATGTATACATTTATTTGAAGAGCTCTTTCTCCTCTACAAAACGGTTTGTTTTTTTTNTTTTTTTTGGATAATTTAATTGTTCGTCTTTTTCTGGCTCAGAAATGAAATATCCAGAAGGAAAAATCAGCATTTACGACATCTGCTTTTTTTGCTTTTCATCGAGAGCAAAAAGCAGCCTAAGCTGCTCCAGACAGTGCAGTGTGTACGGGGAAGGTGTCTACTGCATAAAAATGGTTCGCAAAGTTTAAAAATGGCGACTTTGACCTTGAAGGAACGCCTCGAAGCGGACGAGCTGCAGAATTCGATGAAGAGCATCTGAGGCACTATTGAAGGAGGATGGTCGCCAATCAACTCGTGATTTGGCTGATTATTATAATAAACTATTAAATAATTTTTTATCATAATTATTATTATTTTTTCAAATAATCCTTTGTGAAAAAAAAAACTCTACGAACTTATATTACAACCCAATACTTTCAGCCAGTCACAAGCCTTGTTCCCCCTGAGATGTACTCAAGATTACTAAGAATGCATTCGTTTTCATAGGGACACGGTCATTCAATGAAGTCGTGAAATTATTCCCTCAACAGATACAGTTAATACTTTTTCCATCTATTATTTCTGGGAGATGTTCGATTCGTGCGGTTTTGGGTGCGCGCGGCAAATTGCGCAGCGGAGTTCGTGATGATTCGACTGACTCTGACGCCTAATATTGGAGCACAAACTTGAAGCATTCCACGACACATGCTTGACCCGAATTGTAGTTGTCACGTTTTCCGTGAGCAAAAGCTACAAAATTGTTCAACTTATGATTAGCAACATGTTACTACTCAAGAACATCCAACGTTCGTTCAGATTCGGAATGCCTAAAATGACAACTGCTTTTTTTTTATTTTGATCGCGTAGGAAATTTTATAATAACATATCAGAGAAAAATATTGACATGCATAGCTATTTGAATCCCAAGAGAAACAGAACAACATGCAGCGAAAAGCATTGCGACGCCTCCTGAACACAAAGATTATTCAAAATTGTTGAACTTACTCGAAGTCTCAGAATGCTACACTTACGTTATTGAATACATATAGTTAACAGACAATTCAAGCTATTGATTGACTATTATTCGTCACATAATGGCCTATTATTATTCGGCACACGACGTTAGGAGGTGAGGGGTAAAGATACCGGCAGGACAGAACAGAGAAACTAGGGGAATGAAATTTCTCGGTCGCACACCAGCAAGTATAACACAAAGAGGTATGGCTATCAAATTGCTATAGCAGTTTTAGACCACCAGTTACCGCGTCCACCTGTTCAACTGTACCGAATATCCCCAAAACTGTTCGTGAACCGGGTGGTATTTGGGTGTAGCCGGCATCTTGCACCAAATAACAGAAGCAACCCTGAAAACAGCGTTACACGCTACATGACACAGAGATATCGTTTTTACGTAGATAAAGTCGGTTCCCTAAGAAACATTTTTATGCTTACTTGCGTGACAAAGTCGGTTCCCTAAAAAACATCTTTACGCTTACTTGCGTGACAAAAAAAAGTTTCCATATCGCATAGAGTAAAATGAAAACAAGAGGGAAGATGAAGTGTGTTATCTAAGGGCCCGATCCATCCTTGATTTACTCCATTCAAACCCCCATCTCTGACACTGTACAACGATTATTGTTGAACTTAAATAGACCGAATATTCGCGAAAGAGATTTGTTCAGATTTATCTGTGCCTATCCTTGCCCCAATCACTGTGTAACCCATGCCACATCATAACATAATTTCACTTTTTAGCTTGTTACTGACTAAAAATGAACATTAGCATTTTCATATTTTTTACCCCGGACCAGAAGCCCTGAACCACTATACCCTAGCTGGACCTGGAGGGTCTGAAGACCCCAATACCCTTTACTCGCCCTTATCACCCATTCGTTACAATCTATGTATCCTTCTAGTAGAACTCAACTCCCGCAACCTTTTATCGAATTTTTTAACTAACGATGAGCTGAATCTTTTGACTAGACCAATCGCTCAATATGCGAACAAGTGAAAGTTAGCAAGACCTCAGATGACAAACCCCGTCTTTTGCACTTTTACACATATCCATTAACTCTTCTGTGCTATTGCCGCGGACCACGATCTTCACCTGCCCATGACGAGTCCATGCTTCTACGGCTTCACGACCAGCTTCAGAATTCATCGCCTACGAAAACGTTTTTTTTTGTGCAGACCATAAGCAAAAGTATAGCCCGCAACTGAGCACGAACATGAAATAACGATTGCTATAGCACATATAATGAAAATCTAGATCATAAAGAAAAGATGGATCTTAAAGACGCAAATCCCAAACGCTACAAAACTAGCTGGATTACACTGTTTGCACTGAATTGCTTTATATTTTTTGAATTATAATAGAGTATTATAATATAGACTTTGCAAGAAGTTGCCTAATCAACTACAGAGCGTTCAATCAATCCTTACCTGACGATATACACCTAGTGTAGCATGGCCTACTTGAGCAGCCAGCTTTCCTACGCCCATTTTGAGACTCATGTTCGCTACCAACACCATTTTGTGAGTGCGTCCTCCTGAGTATTAGGAAATAAGCATAGTATAAATAGTTTTAGCATTATCAAAGCAGACTAGAAAACAGAAAACTGTCTGATATGTCAAGTTCATTATTTGGAAAAACGCTTTCTCAGCAAAGAAATGTTAACCCAGTTGTTCAGTAGCATAGCTTGCATCGTAAAGCTTCAGTAGAAAAGCTTCTGAATTTGTGTGGACGATCAGAATTCATTGTTGATATGCGATATCACGACCCCTAATATCCATCAGCAGTCCAAATAAGCTAGTGAGTGTGCCCCACAAATTCCATCGGGTGGGAAACGTAACATTATGTGGTACAATCTAACCGGCTTTCAGCAAACCCAAGAAAAACACTGTGAAACTTCCGACAGAGAACAGCTCAATACATTTTCAAGGACACATCCGAGAACTTCAGTATATTTTTAGCTTTGTGTTCGATACTAATTAGTGACATCAGAACTTATTGTCAAATTTACTGTCATTTGCTGTCAATTTGCTGTTTTGATTCCAGTTTTTGTTTTACGAAAAGAAAAATCTAGTGCTCTGTTAAACTACTTATTCGGTATCGCTCGAAAACTCCACGTAGTTTGAAGAGTTTTTACCGCATGGGGATAGGAAAATTGCATTTTTCGAATTTCTGGAAGAAGGCGTGAGGGGGAAGGAAAGGGGGGGGGGGGGGGGCGTACTACAACAAAGACGATACTATATGTGTATATTATTTGATGTTAACCAATCTGATACAGTGAGAGAGGTCGTGCGGAGTCGACCTTGATTTCCTGAGAAGCAGACTCGAATTTGTCCCAAACAAAAAAATACATCTAGAAGCAAAATAAATATATAATGAACAAAAATAAATAAATAAGAGATTGAAGGTCCATGACCAACACTAGGCGCTGATCTGCATCAATTTGCTTGGGAGATTGCAAGGTCCCCGCCATTTAAAAAAAAAAAGGCATAATGTTTTTTCAAGGACAAGGCTGATAAGAACGTCAAACAATAGACCAGCTGAAATTGCACAAGCTCCAATGGTAAGCTCTCTAGATCCACCAAGATTTTTCCCGATTTCCACATTGCACCGATTATAGTTTTATCTGATTTTGGGATCAAAAAGTAGTTTTTATCAACATTAGTTAAAGCAATTTTTAGATCAAGCATTAACCTATACAGTTCCAATAACTAGTTTTCAAGGTTTTGGTAGCGTAGCCGTTTTCTAACACGCAACATTTCTACTGATAGTATGCGGTTCTATCCCAATGAAATGTGAGCTGCATCCAGCATATTAGAAGAAATTTAGCGAAATACCATAAGTCTGGAACAACAGCAAACACATGCTTATCATCAACAACGACCAAATCAAATACCACTACCGCAAAATCATCAACAAATTCTCACGTCGACTGTGGACGAGTTCCTCTTGATCATACCGCGATAAGCAAAGAACTTAACTTTTTATGCATCTTTTGATGGCTGGTTAAACTCCAAAGGCCCTCCCGAAAACTATCGGAATAGCTACTCGATTCGGGATTCTCTCAAAACAATAAATAATTGTAATAAAAAAAACCACCACTTCACGATTCCACGTGAGTGACTGAACTAGTAAATATTCCACATGCGCACAACTGTAAAGCCGAGGAATTTGACGATCATATTTGTATGATGACACACATGACGAAAGAGCGTACACTCACTTTAGATTAGAAGTGTGGGAGATGAATGCGCAGATTTAACAGTATTCCTGGGCGTGACCCGAACCGAAGGATATTTAGACCACCCCCCTGCTGCAAAGGTATCAAGAGAAGGGTGATACGAGGAAATCGAGTGGTTTCTGCAAGGCTAGCTAGCATATATTAATCAATATATATGTAATGTGCATGCAGAAGAAACCTCTCATTGAACTGCAAAAAAACTGATTAGTATCTGCAATCACCGCGTAAAAACACGAAAGCGTTCACTTACGAAGAGAAAACACTTGTGGAAATGCACTGAGAACGCTGGAAGATTGATTATTAGCCCCACCTGTAGAGTTGACAGCTGAAAAAAAGACTTTAAGAATGACCGTGATCTAATACACTCCTAGTACCTACGGTTCAAGAAGCGAATTGCTTTGTTGATGTTTGATTGCGCGAAAACTTCCAACATTGCTCTATAAATGATCAGCTGACCTCCCATTTCGACGTCGTCTCCGCCGTCGCTGCTAGATGAATTATCCTCGAAATCGCTAGGATTAGATCGCTCGATTATCCAATTGACAGCCTGTAATTACAAACGAACTAGCAGTAGGGTGATTCAGCAGTGGCTAGTTCCACTGCTTTTCATGACTTTTTTGCTTATAACTTCAATGGTACTTCTACTTCACATTAATCATACCGAATCCGAGGTTACACAAGTACGTGGAATATAAAAACTTCGCCTTACTTTCCCTTCATGAGGTTTTATTTTTCGAATACGGGGCACGATTACTTAAGTTTCTCTTTATCAGCAAGTGTACGGCAAGTATCAGGGATATTTCGTTGAGAAACTTGAGAAGCAATAGCAAGTGGTGAGGCTGGAACGATGACACAATTCCAAAAAATTAGTCCGTTACCTTCAACACAGAAGAACAGCAGGTAGCAACTGAGAATGCGCTCTAATGAGGGAAAAGTAGAATAGTGTTCTGAACCAATGGAAGCCGTAACCACATTCGCCCTAACCTCGGAATCCAGTTTCCTTGGGCAATTAACGCAAAATTTTATTTTGTTATTGTAGTCTTCGAAACATTGAATGAAAAATTGTTCGATAGAGAAATCTCAAACGAGAAAATAATCGATCGACGGAATTAGATCAGCGCAATCGCGTACAGTACATCATGCCTACATCCATTCAAGTAACAAAACGTGATATTTCATTTATAATGAATCCAAAACATTCAGTTCCTTCGTACGAATGCAAAATATGCAACCAAATGAATGAGTTTGCGAGTATATCGCAGCATTCAGTAGATATCGGGAATAATGATAGCTCTAGTAATCAAAAAAACCCGAACAGCCAGCTCTAATGTCGCAACACTCTCTCGGTTTATATATCAGTAATCAATAATAAAAATGTTATTGCCAAATAGGTGCGGGATTAATTTCTATTGAGGAAAAGGGAAACACAGCTACAACACTATAAAAGCGTACCTCTTCAACACCTGTATTTGCTGTGCGAATAAGGGCAAGACGTGCGGTGAAATCGTCGAATCCAAGATCAAGAAGCTGCGCGTACAGATCGTTGTTAATCTGTAATCACATAACTAAATCTATAACTTCTAATGCACATTTTATGCGGCGATAAGAATGTCGCATTCTCGAGAACGCTCACAAATGCAATTCGGTGTCTTGAACACGCCTGATTTGAAAATTGAGTCCGAATTGCCAAGTAAGTACACCAAAATTCCCTCTCTAGAGCCATTTGAAAAGAAATTACCCAGCCATGTTCTACGAAACCCTCCCAGTCAAAGAGCAAGTAAAGAAGAAAAGTTATGATGTCCAAAGGATAGAGAACAACACATTCCTTTCTTTTTCAAACAGATAGTGCGCCCCAGTCCCTATGCAGTTTACAGATATCATTACTTTTCTTCAAACCCCTACTCAACTTGGCCCAAGAGTAAGTATGGAGAAGGTTCTACAGAGAAACCGACTGACTAAATAAAATCATTGATATCGTACTCTATAGATTAGTTTTAACAAGAGCCCCTAAATGTCCAACACGCCATTACAACTAGCCTCCTACTGAAATAGTATAGTCTGTGAAAGAGGCGTAGAGTCGAACTCCAGCAATTGCGCATCTCGGCCAGTCATGAAAGCGCCGATAAAAAATTCTAGAGGGTAAAAGTTGTTTTCAAATTCAAGACAGCTAGTTTCGTTAAAAGCTCCAGTTGCTATTCATCACAGCGTAAATGGAACCAGCATAAGAACGAGCTAAAAATGTGACGTGAATGATTATGCCGCCCTGTGGCGGCAACAATTGACTAGAAACAAACTTGTATGCAATCGTTTTTTGGAATTTATTACTTTAACGGAACTGCGCTCAACCATGAAGATGAACAATGTGTCAAGCATATTTTCCAGGTTTGAACATCAACTTGCTTATCTTGCACAGCGAATTGGACAGGACAGTAGAGTCGACTACATAGGTATAGTTGGATATCTATTTATAAACATTCTCAATTATCTTCAACAGTTTTGGTTCAAGAGAACTTTTACACGCGTGCTGACCTAAACATTTTCCTTATAAAAATAGAGAGCGTTACATCAAAGTTCACTCTCCCATGAAACGGTATTACCCGACCCTCAAGGTTAACGAGTTATAGACAAAACTCTCAGGACCTTGGGGGTCGGATTCGTTAGATTACTGTTACATATCTGGGTAAAGTGAGTAATTGAAGATGAATACTAAACATCCTCGATTCTCAATTAATGTGAAGCGTTTGTGCGCGTATTTAAAAAATCAGGAGTACGTTTGAAAGGAAAAAGGGAAAGGGCATCTGAGCAAATATACAAAACGTACTGAACAGGATGTCTCCGGCTGAGCTTGAGGGTCAACGGGATGGGGAAGATCAGGAACACAACTGTTGTTTGCACTAAAGGATACGTGTTGGTTGGAGAGCGGAGGTGGAACCGGAACCTGGTAATATGCTCGTGAAAGAAACTTTTCAAAAAACAATGAATCTTAGAAAAAAAACAAGAAATTACTGACCTCAGGTAACTCCCCTAACCCAAAAGGATCAGAAACTCCAGCAAGCTGTACAGGATCAGGAAGACTAGGAAGATTTTCGACAGTGACTGACGATGGAGTTGGAGAACCTGAAAGGGATGTTGTTTGAACAACGCAAGTCTTAAAGTGAAATATTCTCGGTTTTCGCCTAATCACCCATCTGGCGATCAAAGCCACAGATAGAAAGCCGAGCACCTACTGTAAAAAGAATGTTACCCATCAGTGCACCTTTCCATCTATGTTGTGTTACAGCTAGCCGTGATCTCCCTCATAACAAATGGCGCTGGTATATGCAAGCAAAGGGACTTAGGCCTATCCACTTTTCTGAATAGTAAGAGATAATAGTTCGCTCATTTTACTTTGCCAGATTGAGTTAACTGATATATAGAGTGGAGCCACGATTTTTACAACCACTACAACGCTATTGTACTTCCTTTCAGCATTTATTGGGTCAAAAAGGTACTGATGGGCCAGAGCAATAAGCAATAAGAGTTATCACGACAAAATCATATTAAATTCGAATTGAAATGATAGAGACCTGACACCTCTCACTCCATCCATGATAAGCAGTTCTTCAACTGATCATCAGTCCACTCATAAGAAGCTGATTCTTGGCCATCATAAGTGACTGGGAACTTTGGAAGTTCGTTATGCTAATTCATTCGCCTTTCCTTTTCGTTACCATTACACAAGATACAGTCTATAACTATATTACGTCATGTTGTGATTGAGCGTATTGAATAGGCTTCGGATCGTTCGCTCAGTTTCGGCTTTCGTGAGCCGACTGATGATCGTTATCCCATTGTTCACTTATCGCATGATGGATCGTTTTTGCAATGTTCTTGCAAAGTCGTGAATCATAAACACAAACAAACAGCTTCTCTGTGTGTCAAGGTGACACGGTGTAGTGATGAACTTCTGTAAGTACTGAGAAAAGTTGCGGTAAGAGAAGTCCCATAACTCATGACAACGACTCGCAAATTCATGCAGTGAACCGCTACAGGCTTTTGCCACTGCAATGGTGAAGTAGACCCTGCAGTGGTGTTGAGGGGGAGGAGGTACAATGGACGACACACTGTATACCCACAGACTACACAGGAAACGACAGCAGAAAGTCCAGATCAAAGATCAATATACATAGCTCTGATATACACGCTGTCGTACCAACTTCCTAATCTATCGACGTTCCAGCGGGAATTTCAAGAAATCTGGGAGCGTTCAGAAAACGCTGGCGTAACAGTGTAGAACATATTAAGGCTAACAACCAGAAATATTCAACTATCATGTATTCAGATATTCACGTGTTCTAAAACACGGCTTAGATCTGATTGGAACCGCAGGAATTAAAGATCCACGTGTTTTCTGGTTTTTCGAGATGATGGTCCACCAGATGATCCCTTTTTTTGAATTTCTAGTCTTCTCATTTTCCTATTTGCAGAAGCCAATTGCAAAACACCAGTAATTCAAGCGACCACTTTATTGATCTCTTTCAAGATTAGCATCGGTGCCTCGTACTAAGTTTTCTACTCAAGATCTCACAGTAATCGATGCCTAACAGCCATTAAAACTGATGTTATCAGCAAGGCAACGAAAAATTCGGAAGATCATTTCTCCAAATGTGGCTTCAAACCAAAACAAAACATGAGCGCTTTACTTCAGCTTTGAAAAAATTACGCGAATCTAAAAGTGTGACATTGCAACTGAGAGAATCCACATCGGAATTTCACGTCGAATAACACATTGCTCAAATGTGTTCGCAAGCATTACTGAAACCAATTAGTGATGCGAAAATAAAGGTCACGATCATCAGATTAACGCAAGTAATCAAGTATCACGTGTAATTTCATTAAAAGAATGCGTATGCACGTGCCTGCTACACTGAACTGCTGGTCGTGTGCTAATCGAGTCATACTTTCTCAGAAAAGACCTACTCAGATTATTAGCTGTAGAAAAATAGCTATTTGCTGCTTAGAAATCAAAATTATGCAATACTCGCGCAGTTACAACATTGCTGTCAAACAGCGAATGGGATTGTTAGCGGATGTCTCCTGCAGAAGTACACAATAGCGTTATAGACGTCATGAGGCAGTACTGGGATCTGATAGATTTTTGAAGATTGTAGACCAAAACAGTTAGAAGGAACGCTTTGCAAACCAGTTCTAAGCTGAATGGGTGAAAGCAGAAGATTGCCTACAATCAACCGGTGAAAACGGAGTTGACGGCGCCCATTTTATTGTACTTTGTCCCTCTAACTTAAAGAGCAAGAGCGCAAAAAAAANAAAAAAAAGTTTTAAATGGTGGGGAAAAATGATGCTGATGTTGGAAACTACGGCCCAGACATGAAATTAGGAGGAGCTCCAGGGCGAACGAAGAAACCTTGACTACGTGTAAAAGAATGGTTCGCAAAGAAGTAATGGGTAGAATGGCAGCTCAGAGGGAAAGCTAAGGAAATGGAGTTTGAAGCTGAGTAGCTCTCCTGCTACGCCATTTCGACCGAAGAAACCAGTACTGAAGTCTTTTGCTACTCGCTAGGCGTCGCTATTCTTTATTTCTCTGGGGCTGACACGCCGCGGTCGGCATGAGCGAGCCACGGGGTTGAGTAATTTAGTGATAAAGTTTTCCCATCGCTCTCTACATCATCTCCAGTTGCAAAACTGAACGGTTGACATGAGTTTTTTCAACAACTATAAACTGAAAACTGCTATAGAATGAAATGTTGAGTAAACCCATCAGCCATCAAAGCGTTTCGGAAATTGTTTTGTAAATATGTTGAAAGAAATGAAGCGAACCTCTTTCGGCTCGTATAGAAGCGTTGTCAGGTTCCGGTGGATTATCACTAATATCGAGGTTTGCGTTGGAAGGGGCCCTGAAACTACCGGAGTCACTGACAATATGGGGACCCAAGGTGAAACACTACCTTGGAAGCTGATCCTCAGGAATCTGCTCTGCCATCAAGTTCCTGCTTACGCTTCAAACGAGCGATTCTGTTGGCTTCCTGTTGCTTAGCCCTGCAAGAAAGTTGAACGCTATTGTCTCTAGTTTCCTCGCTTTTAAACCGAGAATTTACACTACTAAAATACGCGAATAATTAATTGAGAGTTAATTCCTTGAACAGAATTGGCGTACTGATTAAGAAAACTGATAAGAAATCCCCTTTAATGGAACCGGTATGATATAACTTACCAGGGCATGTAAGCCTTAGAAAAGGGAAACTCACTTGAACCTCAAATATTCCGTAATGTCTTCGCCCTCACGAGGCCCTCTGATGTTTTCCCAGTTCTCCGTGTCAAGAGCCGCTACCTCCTATGAAAGTGTAAATTAAAAAAGTCGGTGAGAGTAAGGTTTTACTCCTACCTTGTACACGTTTTCGACCGTCACGTCTTTACGAAGGTGAAGTCCGCTTTTCTCCAGTTCCGATTTCTTTAAAACAAAATACAAGTTGAGATCAAAAAAGCAAAAATGTGCTGGTAACAATGCACGATCTTCAAATGAAAACCTGGGGTAAGTAAGCCAAGGACGGTTAGTAGGGAAAAGAACGAGGCGCATTAAATCGGGCGGAACTCAACATGAGAAACGAACCAGATGCTCGAGGTTGGAGTCCTGTTGTTTCAGTTTGCGGAAATCGTAGCGAACTTGTTGAAAATACTGTAGACCGTAAGCACCGCCAAGAACAATAGAGAAAAATGGCAACCCAAATCGAATAAACTTAAGATTCCGACTTGACATCAACCGAAACCTAAAACTTGCTTGATAGAGGGGTTCCCAGAATAACGAAGAAAAGTGGAGGGCTGGAACAGTGGAAAAAAGTGCATGTGATTGCTTGCCATTACTTATAATTAAATATTTGATTCCAATTTTTGCAAGGGGAACGCGCACTATTCTAACTTGCACATCGACTCATATCTACCACATTTATAACCGTATCTTTCCCAGTGTATTCAAAATCCTAAAAATGACAAAGAAGCACTAGTAAGTATGTCAAGAATCTTTAAAAAAGTTGAAGGTGTTCAGGAGCAGCACAAGAAAGGCTCCCCTCAAAGGTTTGGAATTCCGGAAGCGCCTGGTCGCTTTTTAACGCTGGAGCGCGTCAGCTGCAAATGATTTTCATGATTATGAGAGGAACTTGTGGAATGCTTTGTTTTTGGAGGTCCAATGTGATCGAAAACAACGTCATTGGGTATCTTACGCTTGACGAAAGCCATGTTGGTCATCCAAACTGTTGATTGATTATTGACATTCTAAATTTGGTTTTTTTATGAGGGTTCAAGGTAATGAAGGTGCCCAAATAGCTCATCTTAGAAACTCGCTGAAGTGCCTTAGCATTATAATCCAGCGAATGATAAAGTCTATTTTTGAAGATCCATTCTTCTTAGTAGGTGACATACGAATCCAATTATGGATGTGACGTTCATTTTCAACGCCTTTACTTTTGGGATATTTAGAGACATGATCACGAATATCGTATAAGTCTGCAATGGCTTAACACACCTTATGCCGAGATTTGACGAGCCTACAGGGAAAATGATAAGGCGGATTTAAACGTCCCATGAATGTGTCATACAATAGCCGAGCTGTCACTAGAGCGCGTTGTTTCCGTTAGGGTGAGACCGGTGAAACCCCCCAAATTGCCTGCCATGAATTCCCTTCTTGTTGGAATCAAGCCTCCAAGAACCACTTTCAATATCAATGCGATGCGCAGGCGATGATACTCCCTTAACTTCACTTCTGGCGGGGGCCGACCACGCCTGGAGGACGCTCACCCCTGATATATACCATTTACCGGCCGCCTGTAATAAACCCTTTGCCCGAAGTCCCTCTATCGTTCTTCCCCATTTATAACAAATCCACTGAATCGCCGCAAGATGATTTTGTCTCCGAAACCACCTCAAAAACTCCATTTTGCTTCTGCTAACTGTCGGGGGAGAAAGGCTTTATTTCTGCTCGGTACAATAGACGAATTGTTAACATCAATTACGTCTTATGTTATCTGAGCCAAATATATACATCTCGTTATTAAACAAAGAACAACAGGCGAAACGAGAGTGGCATGGAAATATGACTTGGGCCTAAGTAAACCGTCAATAATATGTAGGCCCATTAACTACATTAAGTGTAAGAACTGTAGAAAAGATCTCCGAGGCAATATAACTGTCGAAGAGAGGTCAGATGAT